AGGGGTGTCAGTCCTCCCACACGTGTTCACGCACAGACGAACCCTTTTCGCTTCTCTCCTGTGACCTGCGTTTCAACTTGAGAACCTCACGGGGCCTTTTCCCTCGTCCCTGGCTCTGATCCCGAACCACTGTTTGGAGGGCCCAGACCCACTTTCTCCTTCCTCTTTGGGGAACACTGGGGGGCTGGCTTAAGCTCTGACCTAGAGTCCCCTTCAAATGCTTACCCATCCCTGCAGCGATCGCCATGCGTGGCTGGTGACACCGGTCCTGCTTCACGGCTGGCCCTCACAGGACGTGGCCAGAGCTTCAGGGCTGACCAGCACTGCTGTCAAGGTCGGGCCCCAGTCCCCTGTAGATGTGCACCCCTGACCCCCCCGAGGAGATCCCTGCCCAAGGCCAGGTAGGACACTGGTCAGGCCAGGCCGTCCTGATGGGTGGACAAGCCTCCCCGATGGAGAAGCTGGGTGGCCGCTGTCATTGGCCCAGAGTGTCCCTCTTGGGTTTCTCTGTAGCTCCCCCCAGGGCAGTGGTCTGGGTGTGGGGTGGGAGCTGGGGGCAATGCTGGCATCCACGGCCCCCTCCTGCATGGTGCCTATGCATAATGTCACCTGGAGGGACCTCTGCCATTCCCGCTGGAGTGGGGGGTCCCGGGAGTCCCGGAAGAGGGGATTTCCGACCTCTCCAGGCTGCTAGGCTGGGCTGTCCACGGCCTGCCTCGGCCTCGGCCAGGGAGGGGGGCCACCCATGCCAACCCCAGGGGGCCCACAGCCAGGGGGAGGGTGGGGTGCATGGGCCCTGGCAGCTGCACCCCGGGCCCCACTGAGCCATGGGAGGGTGACACCCAAGAGCTCTGTCCACACCCACCGCTGCCCAAGCTGACCCAGTGTCCCCTCTGGGCTGTGGGCCACCACGGTCAGGACAGCCCTCCTCTCAGCCCCTCCCCATCCCCCCCGAGAAAGGCTCAGGTCGCACCCGGGTACATGGTGGCATCTGAGTCTTCCGCCCACAGCATCCTTGGGCTTCGTCTATGCAGAACATGGAAGCGGTGGAGGTCAGAGGTCAGAGATCTCAGGCCGGTGGGGCCACCTCCTTCCCCCTTCATACCTGGGAGGGGTGACACCCGCCCTGCTGCCCTGTCCCCTGAGGGAGGCTCCCTGACCCACCCCTGCAAAGAGTTCTTGCACAGCAGCCCTTCACTGGTGTGGGCCTGTCCTGGCCTGGGTCCTGGCCGTGGGCCACCAGCACTAGAGGTTGCCCCAGGACACAGACCCTCCACAAGGGTCCTGGCACCGGATGACCCACAGATCTAAGGAGCCGGGGTGGAGCTTGCCGATGGGAATCACCGGGCAGCTGGCAGCTGTTTGTAAAGACAGGGCTCCCTCCTTCTCCCCTGAAAGCGGGGAGTGAAACAGAGCTCACAACACAGGGGGCAGGGTGGCCACAGGGCCCGGGGCTCCGTGCGGCGGCCGACAGACGGCTGGGCCTGGCCGAGGCCTTTGTTGGCTGAGGAGGAGCGATTTACGAGGAAAGGTGGGGCACCTTGAGATCAGGGAGGAACATGGGGACCGCTGGGCCATTACTCTGCCTCCAGGACCAAAGGAGATTGGACCCCCAGGCCTAGCCGATGGTGCCAGCCGGAGCCTGGGCAGCAGGCGGTGACCTCGAACACTGTGCAGACACCTCAGGTGAGCTGGGTGTGTCTACCCTGCTGGCAAAGCCCCAGGAGTGGCCCGAAGGTCAGACACCTGCCGGCCTCACCCTGGCCTGCAGCTCCATCCCCACTGGTTCCCACGCGTGACCCCAGGGCCAGCAGCAGCTGGCAAGTCAGACCCACGTCTTAGCTAGACCCGGGGGCCTCCCCCACACATGTGCTTCTGAGGCAATGCGCCCTCAGGGGTCCTTGTCAAACGTGAGTCAGCTGACAAATAGGGTCCCAGAAAACGAAACACATAGGTCTCCCCACGCGCTGCTGGAAGCACATGCCGTCTGTGGGTCTGCTGGGCGCTCCTGGCGCCCCCACAGTGAGGCTGCAGGGCCGGCATCTGCCCCAGACTTACGCCCGCAGGACCTGGAGGCCATGATGGAGTGGAGGGTCCCCGATGGGTCCGGATGCAGCCGCCAGCACAACTGCGAGCACGGAGGGGCGCCGGCGGCCGCCTTCGGGGACTGCCCCGTGGAGGGGACGTACTGGCTGCCCAGGCCTTACTGTGTTCTGGCCTGACCCCTAGCTGGTTCCCAGCCTCGAGATCCATCATCGCTGGTCACATGCACAACATTCATGAGCCACCCACGGCAGCGTCCCCACGTTGGTCCCCCGACCTGTGATGGGCGGGCTGCTTGGGAAGCCCCCTCCCCACCCTGGACCCTTCATGGGGAAGCTGCGGAAATTAGCTCCCACAGCAGAAGCATGGCAGATGCAGGGGATTCCTTCTGTGTTCCCCACGTAACTTGCCAGGTTAGTGTCGAATGACAGATGACACAGTGTAGCCCATGGTGACAATCACGGCTAAGGTCTGGGTGCAGTATCTTTACTGGAGGAAATCGCAGCCACAAGCACCCAACATGCAGCTGACCTGCAAATGCCATATTTTCTGTCTCCATCACAGAAGAGACCAGCAGCACTCTGCCACCACGCGAGGCACGTCGGCACAGCCGTCCCACCGTCTTAACATGACCCCGAGAGCTGGGCTTCTTCGATGACATCACACTGACTGGACTGGGTGGGCGAGAGGTAACAAGCACCTTGCAGCTTTTGTGACATGCGTGCTCCCCAGAGAGTGGGGGCACACCCTGTGAGCTTGAGGGCCTCGTGGAGGTCAGGGAGCCCAGGGTCGGAAGTGTTACGACCTGTTCAAGGTGAGATGACTCCCTGCACCTCACACGCGCACCCCCAGAGGCACAGTGCCCCGTGGGGCTGGATCTGGGAATGCAGGGACCACGTCTGCTGCTCAGACCTATTTCCTGGGCAACAACAGGTCACGTTGGCAAGAAAAGGCTCCGTGGAAGAAAAGGCATGACACAGGCTGCTTAGCAGACAGCCCCTCTGAGCCCACATCGCCTGAAGCACCATCGGCAGAGGCACCTCCGGCAATGCCAGGTGGAGCAGCGCCCCCGGCGCCCTGGAGCAGGACCAGCTCCTCCTCCGAACAGCGACCCCCGGCTCGGAAAGCAGCCCCAGGCTTGCACTGAGCTCTGGGGAGGTCCCACCCGGCTTACTGAGTGGCTGAATGCCCAGAGCACCCAGCGAGAGCCGAGTGCACGCAGCATCTGTCCCGAAATGCAGACCCTGGCGACCTGAGAGCATCCGGCGAGTCATATGCCCTCCTCCCCTCGCACACCTGCCCCCACAGAGAGCCCGTGACGTCACCCGTCTGCTCCCTGATGCCGGGTGGGCGTACCTACAGGGGACGTTGCAGCTGGGCTCAAGCTCCCTCCCCCAGCCACCGTGGCTGTCGTCATTGCAGGAAAAGTGCCCTCAGACCGCGGAGGGCCAGGAGTGGGGCTGGAAGGAATAAAGCCTCCCAACCTACCCGCACCTTGTCTGTGTCAAGTTCAGAGGCCACCAACTGCATTGTCATGGGCCAGAGATATTGATTTGGTCAGACGTCCATCTGAACCCAAAGCCAGCACATGTTCCCTACGTGCCTTTCCCTATGTGCATGCCTGAGGGCTCAGGGCCCTGGCTCTTGTGTCTTTGTGGGGTACTGTCACACAATAGTTCGCTTTGGTCTTTACCGGTTTGGGTTGGGCTTGGAGCCCTGTGGAGGGCTGGGGAGTCCACGTGATTGGCTGGTGCACAGCCTCTATCCCTGCTGCCCTGGCCGCTTTGCGCCTGGGCCAGGGGAGGTGGTCCCTGGGATCAACACACCCTGTCGATGAGAGTCTCCATGTAGGGGACACTCCCAGGATCGATGTGGGCGCTTCTGTGGGACAAAGCACCCTCACTCTGCGTCTCCCCGGACTTCCTTGTCCAAACTTCTCATCTCAGTCTTTCTGAATCGGGCTAACTAGTCAGCCTCTTGGGTGCTGCCCATTGGAGAGCAAGCTTGGGGCGGATGTGCCACCTCGACTCCTCCCACTACGATGTGGGTACATGTACACAGGTGCCCGCCCGCCCCTCTGCACCCTCCCTTCTACCCCGGCAGCTGGCAGCTGTGGGTACTGTTGGCCTTTTCTGCTGCTGACCACAGTCAGGGCCAGACGGCCTGGCAGGGGCCAGGGGCAGCCCAGCTGGGCCTCAGGGAGCGGGCGCATCCCCTCCGAGGGGATGCTCTGTGGAACGGGCCAGAGGCAAGGACGAGAACGAGGCCGTCACGCCCGCGGTGAGCAGTCGGGAGAAGCAGCTGCGCCTTGGCCTCCTCCAGCCGCTGACTTGTCTGTGCCCAACCTGCTTCCCACCCCAATACCCACAGGAGGGCACGACAGCGTGAGCGGGAGCGGGGCGAGGAAGGCTTGCTTCGGCCGGTCCTTCCACAAAAGCCACTCCAAAACCACCGAATGGAAAGGCACTTTAAGGGGGTGGGGGAGGAGCAGGGGGTGAATAGAGCTGACGACGGGTGGTTGGTGGTCCAGCCCACGTCTCCTCCTGGCTGCCCAGGGTTCACCGCTCAGCACATGCTCACAGTCACTGGACAGTGGTGGCCCTCACAGGGCAGGGACCTCCAGGAACCGTACAGGATTCGAGAAGGGACCTGGCCGGGCCCAGTAGTCCACCGCTCGAACCCGGTAGGAGCCATTGACGACGGCTGTGTCTGGGGACACAAAGGTACATACGTGTTCTTGAGTCTACCCCAAATTTCTACAGCCCCCTGACTTCTGGGTTTGCAAGGCCCTGGGCCCCGCCCCACAGGGCCCTGTGCCGAGGCCCAGAAGTGGGTGGAAAACACACCTGGGCTGAACACGAAAAGGTTGAAGGTTGATGGCTTCCTGCTGAAAAAAAAGAGCGAACACCGTCCGGGGAGAACTGGATCTCATAGGTCCACAGGCACCTGCAGAAGGTGTCAGGACCAGGCTCAGGTCCCGGTTGGGAGGCTTTATCCCTTCCAGCCCCACTCCTGGCCCTCCGCGGTCTGAGGGCACTTTTCCTGCAATGACGACAGCCACGGTGGCTGGGGGAGGGAGCTTGAGCCCACCCGGCATCAGGGAGCAGGCGGGTGACGTCACCGGCTCTCTGTGGGGGCAGGTGTGCGAGGGGAGGAGGGCATAGCCCGCAGGGTAGCAGGGGTGAGGGCCAAGGGAGCTACAGCGGGGTGGCCGCGCGGGCACTGTGGCCCGAAGCAGCTCAGTATGAAGGCGACCACACTCACGCACTTGGAGCGCATGCGTTCATCCGACCAGACCAAAAGCAGCTGGCCTTGGGTCAAGAGCAGAGCGCGCAGCCGGGTCACCTAGGAAGAGGGAGGCGCCGTGACAGGGGCACGCGGTGGGCGGGGCCGGGGCAGGGCGGGCTGCCACTTGCCTGGCCTGGTGGCTCCTCGGGGCGCGCGCACACGTGCACCAGTAGCAGCGAGGGCAGCGGGAGCTCGGGGCGGAGCGTCAGGCGACCGCTGGCGGGGAAGGGGCGCGGCGGCGTGGCTACGGGGTCCTGGGGACAGGGGCGGGACCTCAGGGCCCTGGGCCCTCCGGAACAGCCCCGCCCCACCCCTCACCCCGCCCCTCTCGCGGACCTCCGCCGCACGCATGCGCCGAAACTGCTCTGGCGAGGGGAAGACCGGCCGGCCGAGGCGCTGCCACTCGCCGTGCGGGCTGCAGAGACGGTTGTCCAAGTACAGCGTGACGTACACGAGCCCTGCGGAGCCAGACACTGGGCCGCCCCATCCAGGCCCCGCCCCGCCGGACACACCCGCCGCGGGCGAGCCCCACCCCCCAGCCCTGGGACCCAGGCTCACCAGGGCACGGGGGCGCCCCGTGCAGGCGCAGGGTCAAGGCGACGCTGCGGTTGGCGTGGGCGCGGGTGTCGTCGCTTGCATAGACCAGCACCGTGGCGCGCCAGGCGTCGGCAGGGCCGGCCGGCTGGTGGGCGCTGGCCAAGACGCCCACGGTGTGGTTGCTGTCCAGCACCACTCCCTCCCGCGACACCTCGGCCCAAAGTTGCTCTCCGTCTGTCGGGTGTGCGTGGTGGTCACTATATAGAGGTCGCCACCCCTCTGCCCTCCCAGGGCCTGGCTTTCCACCTGCTCTCCTCCACAGGGGGTCCCCAGACAGGAGGCCCGGCTGCAGGAAGCATGCGCATGCCCCAACGAGGCGCATCCACCCAGCCCCCTCCTCACACACACACACTTAGGGCCTGAAGTGACAGCCCTGCACAAGGCGGCCTCTGCCTAGGGTGCGCCAGGCCGGCCTTGTGTACTTCCAGCCTGGCGGCGACGCAAGACCCTCCTGGCTCACCCAGCAGGGCCAGCAGCCCCATGGCGGTGAGCACCGGCTTGCGCAGCAGCTGCACGTGGGGCGGGCGCGTGTTGTTGACCTGGAAGCGTGCGGTGAGCGTCCGCTGGGAGAAGGGGTGCGGGTGGTAACTCAGGAATGCGTTGTCATTGCTCAGGAGCGCATAGCGGACGTGCGAGGAACTGGTGTTGGCCACCAGCAGGTTCTGGTGCTGAGCGATGACCTGCGGGAGTCACTGCAGCTGGGACCACGGCCGCCCACCCCTCCCACCCCCCCCACCCCAGAGGGGGCCGGCCTGGGGATGCACCCACCTTCACCACCATGGCCGCATAGGTCACGTCAGCCCTCCACTGCTGTGGCAGGGACCAGCCCACCAGCGGGTCGGCCTCGTCGTTGTAAATGGGGGTGTCGGCGAACTCGGGGAAGAGCTGCAGTATCTGGCGCACGGCCGCCTGCTCCTGCTCCAGGATGTAGATGGAGCTGCCCGCGCCCTGCGGTCAGCGGCGGGCCTCAGCGCGGCCAGGGTCAACCCACTTGACAGCGGCTGAGGGGCGGCAGGGCCCCAGGGGGCCGTACCTTCTTGTGGAGGGCGATGTAGTCCAGCCGCACGCCCAGCGCCCCGGTGAAGAAGTTGGTGCCGCGGACACAGTGCTCCAGGAGGCCCCAGCACAGCCGGGAGCGCGGCGGCGGGTAGAACGAGTCGCCGGGGCCGCCCAGGCGCAGAGCCGGGCTGGCCTCACGCAGACCCTCGGAGCAGGCGTCGTAGTAGTTGAAGAAGCCTGGGGGAGGGACCAGGGAGTCGTCGCCCTCGCACCTGGGCGCGCTCCACCCCTCGGCTCCGCGGGACCCCCGGAGGCCCCGCCCACCTTGCGCAGTCATGGACACGTTGTCGAAGTCACCATGGTCCGGCTCATTCCACGTCTCGAAGTTCCACTTGGAAACGTGCTCCAGTCCGTACTTCCCTGCAGAGTATCCCTGCTGTCGCGAGGGCCCCTCCCCTGGGGCAAGGGGGTGACCCTGGCTGCTCCCGGGGAGGGGCAGAGACAGCTGGGGGCTGTCTGCTTGGGTGCGAGCCTGTCCCCCACCTGGCGTCACCGCCCCCCACCCCGTCAGCAGGTGCGGGTCCATCACAGAAGAGCAGCGTCGCGGCTGAGGTGGCACAGCGCGACCTGCCCAGGAGCGCCCGGCCGCCCACACCCCCAGCCTGCACCCTGCCCACCAATGTATCTCCTGGCTAGGAGGGAGACCAGGTCCTTCCACTCAAACACCTGCCGCTTGTCTTCAAAGTCAGTGAAGCGTCCAGAGGGGCTGCCCATCAGCTCAAAGCCTGCATGCAGCACAGGAAGGCGGCTGGCCGCTGCCCGGTGCCCACACAGTGCCCCGGCTCCGCCCACCCCGCTCCACCAGCCAGCACCAGGGCCAGTCGGGTGGGCCACCAGTGAGGACCCAGAGGGGCCAGCCAGCTCATGGGGAGGAGACATCCATGGGCAGCCACTTACCCGGAAGGAGCTGGTTCTCCCTGAGAAGGTCCAAGAACCCATCCAGGTGGGTGAAGTTGTAGCTCAGGCTTTGCCCACCCGAGTCCCTGTAGGAGGATAGGTCATGCCAGGGTGGGGAGAGTGGGCCCAGGCTGGGACAGTGACCACATTCACGCAGGTAGGGAGCCAGCAAGGTGCCACACAGGATTCAGCTCCAGATGCAGTGGGCCCCTCCCCTTGGGAAAAACCCGCTATGGTGGCCTATCGGTCACTCACAGCCTAGTATGAACTAGAGTGCCCGTCCTGGGATCCCCACCCCGAAGCCTCCAGGGCCACAGAACAGCTGGGGCTGGGGGTGAGGATGAGCAGGCCGGTCTTTAGGAAAAGGCGTAACAGGTGGAGCAGGGAGAACAAAGCGTCCTGAAGAGAGCTGACGGTGCTGGAGTAGGGGGCTGTGGGAGTAGGGGGCTGTGGGGCCGGAGCCTGACAGGGCCTGGTGGTGCCACGCCCTGCTTCTCTGTGTCCCCCGGAGGCCAGGGCCCCAGACTGGGCTCAGCAGTACCCTGTCCCCCTCCCACCCCCAAGAGGCAACATGGACAGGCCGGAAAGGGGGAAGGGCAGGCTTCCCTCCCTGCACCTACCCATACGGGGGCCCAGTGCCCTCAGGCCTCGCGTTCTGAGAGGGGACGAGGCACCACCAGGAGATCACTCGAATCGGACATGCCGCGAAGGGGATGGCCAGAGAGCCAAGGGTCAGGCGTGGGGGGTGGGGGGCTCTCCAAGGCAGCATCTATGAGCTCCCCAGTGATGGGACAAGCCCGCGATGAGTGTGCCTGGGGCACAGCTAGGACAGCAAGAGCAGAGGCCCTGAGGTAGGAACGAACTCGTAATGAGGCACAGAAAGGCACACCCGGGCAGCAGAGAGGAGGTCGCAGGGTGAGGTCCCTGACTCGGGGCGAAATGGGGAGCCCTCTGCGGGGTCTACGCGGAGCAGCGCCGCGACTCTCGGGATGCTTGTCAAGACTGATTTTTCTTACAGCAGATTTAGGTTCACAGCAAAATCGAAGTACAGAAAATTCCCGTCCGCCCACCTGCACGCTTCGCCCACCGTCAGCCGCCCGTCGGGGTCAGAGGGGGACATGCGTTGCGATGGACGGCCCTGAGCCGACACGTCGTCATCACCTGTCGCCCACAGTGCTCGTCAGGGTCACTCTTGGCATTGTGCGCTCCATGGGTTTGGAAAGGTGTAAAGACACGTGTCCACCATGACAGTATCCTGCAGAGCACGTCACCGCCCTAAATCCTCGGCGCTCCACCTGTTCATTCCTCCCTCCACCAAACATTCCCGGCAAACAGGTCTTTTCACTGTCCCCAAAGTTTTGCCTTTGCCAAGATGTTTTGAAAGAGTCCCTCTGGTGACTAACTGGAGCCAGAAGACAGTGCCCCAGGGGGAGGTGTGGCACCTAGATCAGGCCGTGGCCACAGAGGCAGTAAGGAGGAGCAGAGAGTGGGTTCAGTGAGGGGACGGCACCTCTGATAGGCTCGTGGTGAGCCGGGAAGGGCGGGCCCAGCACAGCGCCCCACATCGCAGCTCCAGCCACTAGGCGGGCAGAAGTGGGGACGCAGGGATCAGCTGGCAGCGAGTCTTGGATTTACCCACGTGGCCTGGTGTTGGCGGCGTGGTAAGGAAGCTGGTGGTCCCTGGTCAGGCCCAGGCAAGGGTCGGGGCAGATGCAGCAAGCAGGCCCAGGTGGGGGTGTCGCCTTCTGAGGAGCACAGGCAGGTGGGTTGGCGGGGGTCTGAGGGCTTCCCCTGAGGACACGCCTGGTCCACCAGGAGATGTGCGGAGGAAGGCAGGAAATGGCGAGAGGGCCTGCAATGTGGCACCTGGGCTTGTCCCTCGTGTGTGACACTGAGGGAGGGGCAGGGAGGGGTCGCTGTCACCCTAAACAGCTCTTGCTGTCCGTCTCCATCCCAAGTAACAGTCTGGCCAACCCAGGTTTGTCCCCAGGACGCAGTGAGGATCTGAACAAGTAGGCACCTGCCCCCAGGAGCTCTGTCCCCCACCCTCACTTTGCACACCATCGAGGCAGAGCCTGGGCCTGGCCTTCGAAGTTGGCCACTGCACGGGCGCCTCCGGCTCCCCCTGGGCCACCCTCTGCCTGCCCCCGCCGGCCGGCAGCCCCCGCTGGCCCTTGGGCGCCTTTTCGGCTCCCGGGCACGAGATCCGCCCCTCCCACCGGCTTCCCTCCCGTCCAAAGTTCACAACCAGTAGCAAAAAATAAAAGTTAACAAGACTTGTGTAAAAATTAAATGCGCGCAGCAGACCGGTTCCAAAGTCCCACGAATGGTGGGGCAAAGTAGGGGGACAGTACAAGCGAAGGGTGCTCACGTAGAAAGGGAAGGCACAGGAGCGCTTTCTCCACAGATCCAGGCGCCGGGCCGGCCGCACCCCCAAAGCCTCTGGTAAATGCTAATCCCTGCTCAGTGTGGCGGGCGGGCTACCAAAGGGGGAGCCCCAGCCTGTCACCCTGGGTAAATTTGAGTGTCCGCTGACCCAGCTGGCCTTGCCAGCCTAGAAACCCGAAGCGGGGCGGAGTGGGGGGGGTGGGATTAGGACCCCGGGATCAGAGCCCCCCACTCCCGCACGGTGGTGCCTCGGCCAGTTGGGAGGAAATGGTGCCGGACACCCTGGGCAGGGGGCTGACCATAAGGTGAGGTGCGCAGGCCACCCCCGCAGACAGGCCTGGGTCACAGACGCGCACCTGGCCGCCGGGCCGCCGCATCCTGCCGCCCCGC